AATTTACAAAAAGTTTTAATGTTAAAGATCTTTATCATTAAACTGCCCTTTTTCCCCGGTTAAAAGTTAAAATAATCATACGCTCCATTGTCATATTGATACTACTGGGGACAATAGTATTTTCCCCCCCAAAAATTTTCGTTTTTACATGTAAATATCTGACAAATTTTGGCACTATTTTTTAAAATTTTTTTGTTTTTTCCCCCTTTAAATGAAATTTTTAGGATTTAACAATATCATGACTTGCCAAAGGAAATTTTTTGACAACTTCTATATCACTATATTTATTTAATACTATCATAATTTAGCTGTAGTTTATAAGTTTTTTTTTCAAATTCCATAAGGCCACATGGTCATGAGATTTTTTACTTTTACATGTCAATACAGTGTGAAATAAAAAAAAATCAAAATTAAAACATCGAAAATATAAATAAACCATTTTTAGATGCTCTATTTTAAATAAGCCTGAAATGTATTTTCTTCACAAAAACATTTAAAAAGGGAATTTTATTTTCCCTAACATTTACTATTTTTACTATTTCATTCTAACAGTTTTTTTTTGATAGGGGAAATGGACTGCAACTTGCAACATTTTCTTTATTTACACCTAGAACATGAAAAAGCAATCAAAAAAATAAATAAATAATAAAAAATAAATAAAAAAATAATAAAGAAATAAAAAAATAAAAAAATAAAAAAAAACAAAAAAAAACCAAAAAATTATCCCATTTTTTTCTTTTTTTTTTTGGGGGGGGGGGGGGGCTATTCATGAGTATAAACATAAAAAAACAAAATAGTTATTATCATTTATCTTTCGAAGTTTAAAAATAAAATTTGTAAAAATGGGGATTTCATTAGTTTTTTTAAATTTATGAAAATTTTGTTAAAAAATTTTTTAACTTTAAAATGATACTAAAAATATCTCGATATTTTACATGCATAGTAAATATAATCTTTCTTTCATAACAAAGTACAGAAGTATAAGGGGCTGGCAATCTTCACTATGTTCTACACCCAAAAACGAAGGAATATTAAACTTTGGAAACAATGCAAAGTTTGGATACAGTCATCGTGCACCTATTGGGTGTTTTTTTTTTTTGTCATAGAAGATAAAATATCTTTTTTCTAAGAATTTTTTAGAATATATAAATAATGAGCGCACCTAGATTTACTTGAGTATTGTATGGTTTTTTTAAAGTTTAAAATTTTTTTGTATGGTTTAACCTAAAATTTTAATTTTGTTGGGAATAAAAAAACCCAAAAAACAAAAAAGAAAAATACAAAAAAGAAAAACAAAAAACAACAAAATTTTTTGAGCTTAGTGAAAATTATCGGGTCTTTCCTTTACGAATTAAACCCGATTTTACCCCACAAAAAACGGATTTAAAGTAGCTTATATAAAGCCCCCAACTATACTTTTGCGTTTAAAATTCTGGCAGCAAGTATGATTACAATGACAAAAAAAAAAAACCCGTATTTTAAAGCCAAAGTAATAGTAAAACAAAATACCTACATTTTAATTTAAGAAAATGATTTTTAAAACTTGTCCCTTTTGTTTTTTTTGTTAAATGTTTGGTAATTTTTAACTTAATAGCATTCAAAATTAATTTTTAAAAGGTTTTTCAATTTTTTTAAATAAAAATTGCTAATTTTTGTTTAAAGCATTATTTTGTTTTTTTTGTAGTTACTACAAATTAAAATATTTGTAAACCCAAACCACATGTAAAGGGACAAAAGTCGACCTTAAATTTCTTAAATAAAACTGGCTGCAAAACATAAAATTACACAACGGTTTTTGTAAAAAAATTTTTAAAAACTAAAATTTTAAAATTTACAGTGGATTAAAAAATAAAAAATAAAAGAATAAATAAAAAATAAAAAATAAATAAATAAAAAAATAAATTTAAAAAAATAAAAAAAAATAATAAAAAAAAATAAATAAATAAATAAATAAAAAAATAAAGTGTAAAATTTTCTCTCCCTTTTTTTTGCCTGTGTTTATGGGAACTTCCCGGGTCTTTTATAGTGATTTGTTTAAATTTATAAACTGGGACCCAAAAGCTGCGGGCTTGGGGGCAAAAAAAACTTACCCCTCTCTCGACCTGCGATCTAAATTTTAAATAAGTCGGGTAAAAACATTAAAATTTAATCTCGAACATTTTGGTGATGCCACTAGATCGGGGGCTTTCTGATAGTCTAGATTTTTTTGTTTTATTTTGAAGTCCCTTAAATAAATAATGGATTTTTGGCTTTAGGTAGGACAGTTACAATTTCTGTCTTTAAAAATGCGTTTTATATTAATTTTTGCCCTTCTGACCGGCTGATCATGAATTAATATTCATGAATCAAACCAAAAAAAAAAAAATGAATAATAAAAAATTTGAATGTACGCGTGTGGTTTTGGTCTTATTGGAATCATATGAATAAAAACCGAAGAACTTTGATCTGATATTTGTAAATATGTTATACTCCCCAAAATTGTGTAGGTATTAATAAAATATAATAAAACAGGCAATCTTTCATAATTTTTGATTATTTTAACTTTCAATAAGTTTTGTATAGAATCACATTATGATAATGAACGAATATATACCACCAGTATTAAGAAAACTCTACTGAGGTCCAAAAGTCTAAATGCACAAAATTTGAACTTCTTACATAGATCAGCTATGATACTTTTAGAAAGATATGCAAAATATAACATATAAAAATTATGATAAATACAATTAAGCATGCAAGTTATTAGTCTAGAAGACCAACGCCCACTAGATGGTCATAACAATAGCTTCGCTTGTTTTTCTTCTTCCATATTTATATGATAATACCTTTTCCTTTCTCATTATTATCATTGTTATTCTTTTGCACTTTTATAAGCATTTGATAATTTACATTAAGTTTTCACTTGTCTTCTGTATCATACATGGCTCTCCGAGCCTTCCATTTCAGCGGATACTAGTGACTGTATGATGTTACAAAAGGTTAAATTTGTCATAATTTTAATTAGAGACTTAAAGTCATGTTTTAAGTCGCCAATAGTTGCCATGTTACATAAGCACACGACTATTGTGACCCATATAAGCTTCCATACTTTTTTATATATACATACCAGTCTTATTTTGATATCATTCCTAAATTAAAGTGTCAACGAAGCGGACAATATTTACTGACAGGGGTTTAAGAGCGCGTGATGTCGGCGTCAACCCAGGTCGGCAGAAAAGACTCTAAAATATGATATTTACCCCGAGCTTCCGTTGCGACCGGTGCAGACCAAAATCATGGTAAGTCTGGTTCCCAGCCTACATTTACTACGGAGTAAAAGGGGAAGGAACTCCAGACTAATTCATGGTCTGCACTGTTTGTTATTCGGTCAGTGTATATTTTGAAAATGTTGCTAAAAAGGGTTAATAGTTTTGTCCAGATTTATATATACATGTATTTATTTCGCATGGTAAGTCTTAATTAAGACTAAACGACTTTAAATATAAAAATAATGATGTAATATTCATGACAAATATCATCACTACAGTCTATAGTTAACTTTATGAACGAAGAAATTATCAATGCACAACGAGGATGTGGCATAATTGAAATGTAAAAATGTATTTTTTTCTTTCATAACAAAATAAATTAAATATTTTGCACTGATGAAAACATCTAGCCAAAACGTCTGAAATAAATAATTACGAAATGTTCGTGTTTGTGTTGCATATTTGTTAATTCTTTATAGATGGTAATAATAAAGAAAACCTCAACATTTTATAACAAATTGTCAAAGTGCATATCAAACAATTTTATCATAAAACTTACATTAAAATATTTTTTATCACACATAAAACTTTAATGTAAATGGAAAAGTGGTATGTACCGAACACTTATGCAGACGGTTCATTTTAAAACCTTGAAATTTTATATGTTAAGTTTTACATAACAAACATACAAGAATAAATAAAGAAAAGGAAAGTTATTGACATTTCAAGTTTTTTTAATGGTTTTTCATGTTTATATGTTTATGTATACACTTCACCGTTGTGGGTTCGAGTCCCGTCAACGACTTTGGCTTATTTCATTTGAGGAAGTTATTGAGCTAGTTTACGGAACATTTCACAATGATAAAAAAACTTTAAAAAAATAATACTAGAAGTGGCAAAATGCATTCGAATATTTGGCTAAGTGGTGTTATTTTTACATCAAGTAAAAAAAAATACTTACATGGGTGTCGAACTCTTCCAAAGACAACAGAGTGTTGAGTTCCGGTATTCTAGCATACGCCACCTCTTTCTTTGAACCACATTGTTGACCTATGACCCCTTGAATAATGACACAAATTAATACACTTTTAATTAAATGACGAAATCCTGAAACCATTTTTTTATATTTTAAAGTAATCCAGCTCCCTTTTACTATATGCTCTGTCTAGTACTTTAATTAATATCACTATCTCGATTATAGTTCAACAGACAGTAACACGCTTACTCTATCAAATCTGCACATGTAGCGTGAAATTTTAGAAAATAAAAACCGTGAACCGTTAAATTTTAAAACCGTACACTTTTTTTTCTACTTGATCTGATCTTGCAAAAATACTTAAGGCGTTTGTTACGTATTATAAAAATCGGAAAGATCAATATTGTCGAACAATTTCACAGAAGTTGAATACACATTATTAGATGTCTGCAGATGTATTAAAAGTAAGTATAATCTTTAAAAATCGTAAATCAACATTTACACACCACCGAAGGTTCGAAACCCACCAGTGACTTCTGGTGTCTATCTGCTGAGAAAGCTTAGTTTGGTGGTTTTACTTAGGTGCGACTTGAACTTGAAATGGCACCTGAGGTCTTCCTCCACCTATTTAGCTTAAAACTGACCATACGAATTTCATTATGTCAGTTTGACTGAACTCCGTCATTTTCACAGGAGGGCTTTTGTCCGTTTTGTCATTTTTTGGACGGTAAGGCTTTTGTCCGGGAAGTCTTTTGTCCGTTTCCCCTTTCCCCTCCCTTTCCCCTCCTAAAAAATGATGTAGATGTACTTCGAAACTGGCCTGCCACTGAAGTAAGTGTCAGGGAAAATTACCGCTAAATTTGACAGTTGTCCACTACAGAAATCAAATTAACAGTGCCACTGAATTTAAAAATGGCAATGCACGGGAGTTCTTTTAATTACAAAAGAGCAAATATTCTTCTTTGAAACAAACTTAAAGGTTCTTTATGCATTAAATAATTGAAAGCTCTCTATATTTTATTTATAAACCCTTGTAAATATGCCTTGATACATATTTTGCTAGTTATTGTTCCGTGCTCAATTTAATACGATGAATAGAACCTTTTTTAATCTGGATAAATATCTAAATAATAGAAGATTTTAAATATTTAACGAAAGGTTATGCAGTATGAATAGGCAAAACATTACTGCGGTACTGTCTAATAAACGCGCGCAACACTCGAATACCACATTCGTATCTGCGTAAAGCTAAAATACGACAAAGTGGCACTAAAATAGGACAAAGTGGCACTAAAATACGACAAAGTTACCTCGCGGAGCGGAAGAACGACATGGCATAAATTAGCTATTAAACTATATCATGCAAAACTGCATCTAACATTCGCTACAAATGAATTAGAAATCACTTGACAGCAATGATTGATAGATATCTTTATTCACTCAAGCACATTTGTAAAATATGAGAATTTTCTAATATAACTTTAAGCAATATCTTTTTTATGTAAACAACATGATTATAACAGTTCGTTTTCTTTAATGTAAATAAACTCGATATGATAATTATAAACATGTATTAATTTAGCGGCCTAGTGGCCCAGCGGCGTGAAGTTGGCGACCCAGCGGCATGAAGTTGGTGGCGTAGCGGCATGAAGGTGGTGACGTAGCGGCCCAGCGAACTAGCGACGTGAAGTTGGCGACCCAGCGGCGTGAAGTTGGCGGCCCAGCGGCATGAAGGTGGTGGCGTAGCGGTATGAAGGTGGTGACGTAGAGGTCCAGCGATCTAGCGACGTGAAGTTGGCGGCCAAGCGATATGAAGTTGAGGGCGTAGCGGCATAAAGGTGGTGGCATAGCGGCCCATCGACCTAGCGACGTGAACTTGGCGCCCAGTGGCCCAGCGGCATTAAGTTGGCGACCTAGCGGCCTATCGTGAAGTATGCGGCCTAATGGTACAGCAGACGGGCGGCGTTAGGTTGATGGCCTAGCGGTATGACGACCTAAACATTTAATGTTGTACTAGTTTGTCAAAGTAATTAAAACGACTCTTAATAAAGATTTTAAGAACATGATATTGTCTTTCAAAAGATATATAAGAACAAAAAAATCACATCAAAACTATTTTAATTTCATCATTATTTGTGAAGTTGACAGCATAATGGCCCAGTGGCATGGCGGCCTAAAATTTTACAGTTGTAGAAATGTTATTAAAACATAACAAACGGCACATAATAAAGCTCTTAATACAATACATACAATACAGTGTACTTGATACTTTAAAGATATATAAACAAAAATCACTTTCTAATGTTTATTGTACATCAGTGGGTTTATTTAAATTAATAATGGTCGTCAGACATATGTACAATCATAATTGTATCGAAACAGATTTTTTTTCCTTCGGATGTTAAAAATGTACATTTTACATAATTTCTGTTTCTGATCACGTGGTACAACTACTAGATGGGGACGTTCATATTGTTGCGTAGCTCTATATTCCGAACGGTATTCACATTTTACATATTGGATTGAACCAGTCTTTTGATGTTATTATAATGTATAAACACGTTTTTTTCATTACATTTAAACAAACATAATTCTTCTCGTCATGTAACATTTTTCTTTCTTTGAAATAGAACTAAAGGGCCAGCGTACAATAGAGGTTGCAGTGACGAGCCGATATCCTGTTTTTCAAATAGTAAAAAGTTATATATTAAAAAATATTTCTTTTTTTATAAAATTTATGAACAGTAAAATTATGGTTTTATAATCGTATGGTTGATTCTGAATGTGTTTGTTATTTAACACACACATGAATATTGTACATAAACAGAATTAAATGTTCTGGAACAAAATATTCTGCTTTTAAGTAGGGGTTCATCCGTTTAGCAATGATTTCTTGTACGCGTCATTCACGTATAAGGCAATTTACCATCATATTTATTTCATACCAGTATTTTGCAGTTTCATTTTTCTTTTCTTTTTATTACATTAATTTTTTGCAGCAGATAAATAGCTTTATATATACATTTTGATTCAATTTCGAAAACAAATACTAGTAGAAAGTGAACAAGTCTCGTATATTTAAGATAGAGGGATTCTTTCATCAAGATGAAATATTGCGCCAGAGAGCACGTGCATGTCGTCTGCTAGTAAAGGCGGCCAAAGCCAATATATTTATCAGCATGGTGTGGGCTAAAACTGAAAGAAAAGGTGAGAAATTCGTTGCAGGAATTTTAAATAATTCTTTAAAACTAATATAAATACATAGAAATCGGGACTTCCAGTAAAGGAATATCACAGAAACATGACTTGAAAAGTGGTAAACACAAACGAGAGTTCATTTAAAAGTTTATTAAATTAATATGTTAGACATAATTATATATTATTATATAATAAAATGTTATATACAACAGTAGATGATAAAATAATCATTTTTCTTTTCTAACATATTTTCGAAGATTTTTAAAAATACTTACGGCATTCTGGAACATGTAAATAATTTTTGGCATTAAATAAAGCTTAGTTGTATATCAATGTGGATAAATGACGTCACGATGATTAACAAAAACTACATGTATATGACTTTCAGAAATGGCTGAGTCAGCAGAATAATGTGATGGTATTTACTAAATGTTTAAAGATTAAGAGCAAAATACATTTAAGGGGTCAGTTTGAAACAGTAAAATTTAATACTAGATTTATAATGCGTTAATGAGTAATATTTACATGTTGTTAGATGTAGATATACTGGTTACTGATAAGTAATGCTGCAATTTTTCATTGGACAACTATCACCAATAGACTTTGCTAAAGCAAATTTGTGATTTATTTTAAATTTTAACAATGATGACAAAAAAAAAGGGAAATTACTGATTGATTCCAACACTTGATAGATAACATTGCCATGTATAAACTGTTGTTTGACATATTTAACTCGAATGAACTGTAAACATGTTTATATCTTATAAAATATGTTCACATATGATAAAACTAACTACAAAGAAAAACTCATGAAAATTGACGATAATTGGCGACAATTTCCAAAGATATCAAACGATTTTGAAAAACAGAATGTTTTTTTTTTTGTATTTTTAAATAATTGGCCAGGTTACAAGTTATAACAACCTTCACAGACACTGGGGTTGTAGATCCCCACACGCCTGAATCCACTTAAACCAAATAAATGGTATATTTGTCAATCCCAGCACATATACTGATCATAATATTATTTATCAATAAAACTTAAATATAAGTACAGATATTATTTTCTACGATAATGATCAATTTTAAACTTCATCTTCTTTAGAAACAACAATGAATATGCAATTAATTATCTTCTTAAAAAAACCAACTAAATATCAAAGATGAAAATGATAAGAGAATAAAGGTTTGAAAATCTTATTGAGCGAAAATAAAGTAATTTCATTGATAATCAATTTTCCTCCGGTAGTCATAGGAGATTGTAGAAATGTTAAGTCTTTCACGTGTCAACACAGAGCTGAAAAAGCAAAGAACAGGACAGTATAATATTAGGCATGTAGCTTAAAGTGCAGATAACTCATGAACAATATCATGGGCTGTTATCCAAGAGTCGTCTCCCTTTTCAACAAAAATATACAATTTATTTAAACTAATATTGCCCCGGGATGTTAAAGAACGTAAAATGTTGAAAATAACTTAAAGCCCTAATAACATTATTTATCAAGTCACGTGATAATAAAACCTGACATATAGTGTCATTTAATACACAAAAATCAATAAAAAATTATTATTTAGTTCACACAACATTCCTTCAATACCTTTTCTCAAATGTGAAGTTTATAACGGGTCCTAAAAACCAAAAGACGTTAAAAATCTTACTATTTTCTCCGAATGAAAAGTACCATTCTAAGCTAGGGGAACCAAACTTTACTCCCGTAGCTCGGCACAGATCTTCTATAATTTCAGTGATTGGTGCATCATTCATATTACCATGTATATAAACACCTGAAATTATTGTGCTGTTTAAAAAATGGTAAAATCTGAACAATTTAACGTGAAATAAATGGCATTAAACGGGATAGAAATGTATATTAATTCATGTTGCATACCACGCAAAGAATTTTTTTATTTATAGAACAAACTTAAATATCCTCTATATATATTACTAGACCATTGCTGGTAAAGTATCCTTTATTTCACATATTAAAAAGTTGATATATTACAGTGTACATTACCGTCCATAACTTTAAATAGGACCCCTGACAAAACTCCAGTGATTTTGTTCTTTTGATTGATTGTTTCAGAGGTTAAAAATTAGAGCTAGTAAATGTTTTGGTTACAATTGCATGAAATACATGTTCTTACAAACTATACAACATAAGCAAATTGGTTGGGCTACCAAATAAGACTGAGTCCATTTTGGTTGTAAGTCGGCGGCCATGAGTCCGAACTAATTGATGCGGGATTTTACATTATTAATTTATTATTTAATAATAATAAGATGTGGATATGATAGTATAAAAATATATTACTGAAAACTGTGTCTTTAATCAAACATTTCTTCTGACCAAACTTATAGTTCGCACATCGCATGTACAGTATGTACTTTGTAGGACAACTTGACCACGTGACTTGTATCGCGGCTGAAAATTAATGGGATGATGTTATCCACTATATATATATTTCTCACGAGCGCATAATATAATTTCATTCAACTCGTTCAATAAAATTTAAATGCAGTATTGATCTCACACTCATTCATTATTCTCTATCCAGTGTTTTATTGTAAAATATCAGATTATTATATAGAGGATATTTGTTTGTTTGTGTGTAAGATGAAATTTTATTTCATCGAGTGGGCTTTAAAAACAGTATTCTCACGAGTGGCGAAGCCACGAGTGAGAATACTGTTTTTAAAGTTCACGAGATGAAATAAAATTACATCTTACACAACAAACAGACAAATTTTCTTTTTATTTTATGCTTAAAAACAAGTTAAAACGAAATTTCCATAATTTTAACGTTAATATTAAAACTGTTTCCCCCATTGAGAGCCCCATTTATTCGGAATTTCTCATTAAAAAAAGAAGTCTTGAGCTGAAAAATAAGTCCGCCAATCAACATTAAATGACGGTGATATTTATTAATTTTATTAAAAAAATATGAATGATCGCTTGTTTTGATAATAAAAACAAACAATTCTTGTAGGAGAAAAAGTCCAACCATCCATCCATATTTCTGTTACTTAGTGCGAATTTATATTAGACCTGGCTTTGTAAATTGTAAGCGGCAGCCATTTTTTAAAGTTGTGTATTTCATGGGAGGAAAATAATTGTGTAAGATTCAGAGGGATATAATTTGGATTTGTTAGTCATACACATTTTTAAAAGAAAGAAAACTTATTTGAGGATTGTAACAGACAAAAAATAAGTGTTGACAGATGTGAAAACATTCAGAAAAGAACCTAGGAAAATGGAAAAATTGGAAACCTGCTCAAGAACGCTGGGTTGATTTAACTTATTCTTCAAGTTATGGCTGTCAATGCTTTCAATTTTTCATAAAGCATACGGCAGTTATTGCTCGTAGGATACTTTAATATGCCCAAATGTCATCAAGAGCAGTTTTGCATGGGGAAGGAATGTATTTTTGAGACTGTCAAAATGAAACAAAAAAACGAAATTTGGTGATTGGAATTTCATGAATTTGAATGAATAGAAGTAAGTTTTCTTCTTTTTATTACTTTTGACATTTAAGTTATTTATCAATTTCAGTTTTGCTTTTTCTTTAAACAGCCTGACATTGTCAGAATTGTCAGCAAAAATAAAATTGAGGTACCACATGGGGAAAATCTTAAAAAAGTAGTTTCGTCATTGAAAAGAGTGAAATTATATTTTGATAATTTTCACTGTGAAATTACCAAATATAATTTTCACGGATAAATCAGTAATCCACTGAAAAGCATAAAATAAATTGTGATAAACAACTAGTAAAATTATAAAATAAATATAATTTTCACTGTAGCCGGACTATATCTGAATGCGGATGAAAAGAAAATTAAACTAAATGAAATAACAGGCAGAAATAAATGCTGTCATACGTAAATTTTGTTTCTATAGAAAAAGAATGTCAATGTCACCATTCATGTAAAAAATGTTACAAAATTAGAGAAATTTAACAGAACTATATTTCGAAATTGATGATGTGACGTCATGATGTGATGAAATCACAAAGAAGAATGCTCGACGTTACGCGGCAAAATCAGTAAAAAATATTTAAAATTACTTAAAAAGCATGAAATAAAAAGAAAATTTATTTGTTTAAGATTGATATATATTTCATTCGTGAACACCAGCTATTATATTTTCACGAGTGGCGTAGCCACGAGTGAAAATATTGCATCTGGTGTTCACTCAGTGAAATTATATTTCAATCTTACATGCAAAACAAACACATATCCTCTATTTATCACATATTCGTGCCGCTTTTACAATTCCGTACATATGATTTTGCACGGATGTGCATATTTTTTTAAGTAATCTCATTTGCGTTCAAAGACGCGCTAAATGTAAGCGTTACATTATATGCGCGTCAATGAAATTTTCTTTTGCACTATAAACGCATCTTTATTTTGGGTATGTGATAAATAAATAGAGGATATTTGTTTGTTTTGCATGTAAGATTGAAATATAATTTCACTGAGTGAACACCAGATGCAATATTTTCACGAGTGTCGTAGCCACGAGTGAAAATATAATAGCTGGTGTTCACGAATGAAATAAATTTAATCTTATATGTAAAACAAATAAATTTTCTTTTTATTTCATGCTTTTTAAGTGATTACTGATTTTGCCGCGTAACGCCGCGCATTCTCTTTTGTGACGTCATCACATCATGACGTCACATCATCAATTTTGAAATATAGTTCTGTTAAATTTCTCTAATTTTGTTACATTTTAACATGATGTATGGGGACATCGACTTTCTTTTCCTAAAGAGGCAAAATTTACGTATGACGGCATTTATTTCTGCCTGTTATTCCATTAAGTTATGATTTTCTTTTCATCCGCATTCAGATATAGTCCGGCTACAGTGAAAATAATATTTGATAAATTTCACTAGTGGTTTATCAGAATATAATCATCTGATAATTATATTAAAATAAAACACTTGAAAGCATGAAATAAAATGTTATATTCGTGTACATTCATAAGTATTCATGTATTGATATTGACGTCATTTGGTGTATTGATTTTACAGTGTCCATGACGTTATCTAATTGACGTCATTTAGAGTATTGATAAATAGAGGATATTGAATGAGTGTTAGTTCAATACTGAATTTATTGCACGAGTTGAGTAAAATTATATTATGCGAGCCTCTGGCGAGCATAATATTATTTCATTCAACGAGTGCAATAAATTCAGTAATGAACTAACACGAATTTAATATTCTATTCATCACATACCCAAAATAAAGGCCGTTTAAAGTGAAATAAGAGTCATTTTCCGTTGACGCGCCTAAAGTAGAACTCTAACATTTAGCGCGTCTTTACACTATGTTTGCATAACGCTAATGACGTCACGTCAAAATATATGCACGGCCGTGCAATACTATATTTACGGAGTCGCAAAATCGGCACGGGTGTGTGATAAAACACCTTTTTTGACGTCGGAAATCCCTATTATCGGACTTTGCTTTGACGTCGATAACTTTTGCTTGGTTCATTTAGTTAAACAAGATTAAATAAAATAATCATTATTGAGAAAAACCTTACTATTTGTCAGAAAGAACAACGCCCTGTTTATACTGTATACAGGAGTTAAAGAAACACTTCCAGATGCACATGTTGGATTTGCTGTCGGTGTCCTGCAATATAAAATAAATAGAGAATATTTGTTTGTTTTACATGTAAGATTGAAATATAATTTCACTGAGTGAACACCAGATGCAATATTTTCACGAGTGGCGTAGCCACGAGTGAAAATATAATAGCTGGTGTTCACGAATGAAATATATTTCAATCTTATATGTAAAACAAATAAATTTTCTTTTTATTTTATGCTTTTTAAGTGATTTTAAGTATTTGTTTACTGATTTTGCCGCGTAACGTCGCGCATTTTCCTTTGTGACGTCATTATATCATGACGTCACATCATAAGTTTTGAAATATAGTTCTGTTAAATTTCTCTAATTTTGTTAAATTTTTAACATGATGTATGATGACATTGACTTTCTTTTCCTAAATAATCAAATTTACGTATGACGGCATTTATTTCTGCTTGTTATTCCATTTGGTTATGATTTTCTTTTCATCCGCATTCAGATATAGTCCGGCTACAGTGAAAATTATATTTTATAAATTTCACTAGTGGTTTATCAGAATATAATCATCTGATATATTGTAATAAAACACTGGAAAGCATGAAATAAAGAACAATAATTAATTATTTTACATGATCAACAAAAACATTACGTTGTTATGATAGCGTTAAATCCTAACGTTATATCCATCGATGAGAACGTCTTCAGCAAGCTGAGAAAGTTAAGCGGTTACATAAATACTTCAAGTTAAGAACATATTTGATCAAAACTAATTATGGGCAATTAATTCTAAATTGATTTTAAACTGTTGCCATATACACAGTATTAAGAACACAGCCTTAAAACCCGGGCAATTGTGCCTTGGTGTATTCGTGTTCTATGTTCAAAGCCTCTGATCTGAAGTATACGGAAGTATACGGTAAAAACCGATGTTTCGACCTCAACAAATCTTACAAATTTGAAAAAATGTCAAAAATGATCATACAAAAATATACCGTTACAGTTTGAACCTGGTGAGGGGGTGGTGGTGGTGTTGGGGGGGGGGGGGGGGTCAAATACTTAACTAGATACTAGAGAAACGAGAATAATTATATTAAATAACCATTACGACAGCTTTAATAGAATTGTAAAAGTAAGGTCATACATTAATTTGGTAATTACGAACTTATGAAGATACTTTTGTTTGCAAAATCTTTATCAATGCAGCTAAAAGACTTTGAAAGCATTCATGAGTTTAATTTACAATGTAATCTTTAAAGTCATAATTAAAGTACTGAAGTCTGTCTCTCCAATACGAAAAGATAGACAATGCAGTCTGATTGGCGTACTATAATAAATAAATAAAACATTAACGTGTCTTCCACCAATCTCTTACAATTCCCTCAACATATGAATTTAAGATAAAAGTAACAAAAATGTAAACCAAGCAATATTTTGACTTCAAAAACAGATTCAAAATTACTTTAGGCAAACTGTTCATTTCTTAGTTCTGAATTTTTCATACATTATTCTCTAAATGTCCTCAAAATAAATACACTAGACAGGCACCGGAATGAAACTTTTCTCCTTATAAAGAATAAAGTGGTGGTTTCCAAACTTGACCCACGTGGGTCAGGTTAGAGCGTTAAGATTTCACAATATTTGTCACAGTGAACTCTGGAAACGTTAAAGAACATTTCAAATGGATGGCTTAGACTTGTTTCAATCATACAGTATCCACAATGTCTGTAATTGTAACATTCAGGCTTTGTTTTTAAACTACTCTGTGATTCTGTCGGCATCTAGATTACGTTCAACATATAAAGACGCTTTAAAACCAAACTATAAAGAATGCAGACATATATTCATGCTGGGACTTTCAAATAATGTTATTTTTAATTCTAACACTCACGTGATTTTGTCAATATAGACAAAGAAGGAAAAAAACTGGTGTTAAACTGCCAATAAACACCGGCTAGGGACTACTTGTATATGCGCTGTTATGTTTTCACCCTCGATTGTATTGTTTACAAAGCATTTTAAAGCAACAATAAAAAGCATTTTTATTTATATTTTCAGTTCGTATAATGTTTTCTTTTCATGCAATACCGAAATAATATCTCACGTACACTAACGCCACATATTAGATCCATATTAGTTAATAAATATTTTGACAAAACGGCGCCAATCCGTAAGTAGCGTAATGACGTCATCCTAAGTAAACAACTCAATCATAAACAAGCTGACGTTATTTCATACGTACAAGAATGATAAATGGGGCACTGATGTAAAAACAATAAGACGTAAGTTTTTATTGTTGAAAACTTGATAAAATAACGTATTTTTCTTATTATTTCTTTTGTTTGATAATTTCTACATCATCGCAACAGTAGGGTGCGAGAATCGAACAGCGTTATATACAAAAATCTGCACCGGAAGTTATTTCCGCTTGAAAAATAACATTAGTGATTTTCCTTATTTTATCATGTTAGAATCGAAATAACATCGGCCTGAGAGGTGTATATCGGCTATTTAACACCGGTTTTGTCGTTTTGATGCGACAAAATTAACCACTCAGGCCTACGGCCTTCGTGGTAAATTCCTACGCATCAAAACTCCAAACCGGTGTTAAATAGCCGATATACACCTCTCAGGCCGATGTTATTTCTTAAATAGCGTGATTTGAGTACATTAAATCATTTTCATATTTTTGTTACTAATTTGTCTGAGTATCCCTTTAAATGTAACAGAAGCAAAAGATGGTTTAGGTAATTGGCCAATTATTATATATAAACGCATTTCTGATGCATTATAAACCTTTAAATAAGTAAGAAGGCATTGGTACATATTATGACCACACATTACCAATTAAGTCAAATAAAAAAATATGTCAAAAACAAAGGATTTGACTGGGGACAGTACAAATAATGACACTCGATTGTTTGAGCGATGCGGAAGTATGTTTATCAAATGTACATAACGCTTTTCTGCTTGGCTCTAAACACATGGTGATGGATACATACATGTATGAACAGGGCAACATATATGATAAGTAATTATATAAAAGTAGAGCCTAATGGAACTATTTGCAAAAGTGTATACCAAGTCGGATAATGTTATGTTTTTGGCTGAAATAACATAGAAAACGACATGATTTCAATACGGGTCAGACATTCTGACGACAGTACAGCAAGTCCAAAACAAGTATACTAGTAAGTGGTAAAATATTTATTGTGCAGAGTGAAATACGATCCTTTCTTTGACGACTTATACCCGATTTTTCACACAAAAAGCCTTGGGTATTATATAACTTATATCTTGCTTTAAACTAAAGCCTTGTGCTATTGTATGTGTCGATTACAGATAGATATACTAAATAGACACGTGACACAACACAAATATCTTTTATTTAAATTTTAAAGGAAGTTTATGTTATTGAAACTAGGCAAATAAGTTTATACCTTACTAAATAAATGAAACGACTTTGCACGTTTTGTAAATCAATATTTAATTGTGTGGTTATTAAAATCTTACATTGCTTAATTTCATGTACATGTATTTTAGTAATGCATTACTTTTTCTTTGTACTGGAAAGTTTAATTTGGAACTCCTAATTGCTTCAAAATAAAAATGTTGTTGATTAAATTACATGTATATTGTATAAGTATAGATACGATTTTGTCCAGGCATTTTCTGCTGACATTGTAAAGTTTCTCAGCCCCGTCACAACGGTCGATGCTAGAAATTTAAGAGGACCTAAATTTAAGATTTGATAGTAAATTCAATAGATAGGTATAGGTAGGTAGGTCGGTAGGTTGGTCGGTAGGTCGGTAGGTAAATAAATTGATTGATAAATAAATAAATAAATAAATAAATAAATAAATAAATAAATAAATAAATAAATAAAGAGATAACTTACTCTCCTTTTGACGCCAGTGTATATTGTGAACTGCCCGGGTCTTTAGTTATAGTTGTTTTGTAATTAATATCCGGAATATACGGTGCAGGTCTTGGCAGTGCATAATACACCTCACTCATCTCCCGACCTACGACCTAAATATAAATACATCGAATTTAACATTAGCAAATTCAAATGTTTTTATCATTATTTGAAATACATGCACATTGTAGAGCAGTCCAAGTTCAGGGCTTTTTTTACAGGTTGGGGAAGCAGCCCTGCCATTAATTTTTGGGAAAATTAAGGGGGAGAAAAAACTTGATGTAAATTTGATTTTAAAGATTTTTTTTCTTTGGGGAAGCAGCCCTATAACTGCCCCTGCTATAGAAGGAAAAAAGCCCTGAAGTTCTTGGTCTGCACTGATCGTTATTCGGTCAGTGAATATTTTGAACAAAATGTGCTAAAAATGATAAATGGTGCTGCCCAGATTTAGATTTACATTTATTTAGCATGGGATGTATTTATGAAGTCAAAAATGACATAAAATCCAGAAACAATGAAAATATATCAACATGATTAAGAAATGATTTTATAAGGACAATAGCATTAAAGCACAAGGAAGATGTGGCAGAATTGAAATGTTTTGTATTTTTCTGTATATAAATGATAATAAAAAAGAAACATCAACATTTTATTACAAATTGTCCCAGTGCATAATTATCATAAAATTTACATTTAAATATTTTTTAACAGTGGAAGTTTAATATGAATTTTTGATAAAAGTAAATGAAATGTAAACAAAGTGGTATTTTGACTTTCTATACAAAATTCCTTTACTACTGATTGTTTAAAAGTAACAGAAGCAAAAGGTGGTTAAGGCAATTGGCCAATTATTAAATTCTTGGAAACTATATCAGGACTCTATATATAAACAATATTTTGAGAAACAGAAATAAAAAGCATTATGGGTGTTGAAATAATTAAAAAGGCATTGGTCTATATTATGACCACACATTAAAATGGAAGAGCACTTAAGCAGACAATTAATTCTAAAACATTCAAGTTTTGTATGTTAAGTTTAATTTAACAAACATAAAATTTAAAAGTTTTTAAAGTTTGTTTCCCTCTTTACATGTTTTTGTTAACACCTCAATGTTGTGGGGTTCGAGTCCCGTCAAAAACTTTGCATAATTTCATTTGAGGATGTTCAGCTAGCTTATGGATCATTTAACAATGAAAAAAAAATCATCATAATAATTAAAACGAGAAATGGCAAAATGCACATGAACAATTTTGCAAAGATATTTTTACAGGGAATTAAAATAAACAAAAATACTTACATGGGTGTCGAACTCTTCCAAAGACAACAGAGTGTTGAGTTCCGGTATTCTAGCAAACTCCACCTCTTTCTTTGAACCACAATGTTGACCTATGACCCCTTGAATAATGGCACAAATGAATACGACTGTAATTAATAAAAGACGAAATCCTGGAATCATTTTTTTAAAATATCTTTAAATAATCCAGCTCCTTTTTACTTTAAGCTCTGTTTAGTACACCAGACAGTAACACGCTAACTCTATCAAATCTGTACATGTAGCGTAAAATATCAGAATATGAAAAACTTAACCGTACACTTTTTTAAATTGACCTTAAAAATAAATTAGGCGTGTGTGACGTATTATAAGTAGGACAGAAAAATATAATAGCTGAATGTTTAAGGAATATCATATAAGATATAAAAAAAAACAACACCACCACCACCACCACCACCCAAAACACACAAGAAGAACAACACAAAAACCCAACAAAACAACAAATTCCTTGCTGTCTTAGATGTCTGCATATGTATTAAAAATAAATATAATCTTTATAAATCGTAAAATAACACATACACACATGTTAACATTCACACAGAGACACGTGTTATATTTTTTCACTGGTGTAGGCTCGAATCCCGTCAGTGACATTGGTTTCTTTTCTTTCGTTGATAAAACCTAAAGACCACTAAGAATATTTAGCTAGCTAAGTAAAGAAAGGTTGGTGCCATTTGCAGCTAAAATGGTGCAGGAAGGGGCACCTGAGGTCAGCTAAAAACTCGCCGTACGAATTTCATATTGTCAGTATGATTGAAACCCCAGAAAAACAAACATTAACATACACTGGTACTCGTATACAGTATATATATCGTAAGCCTATCGTCGTTATTTGACAGTCCAGTCATGGCTGTGCTTGAAACATTCTTTACTCATTAAAACTTTAAACTCGTGTGGTTGCATATTAACGCACTATCTTTCAACATTGTACAAATTAAATCAGTATTATAAGATGTATATACGGAATATTATGTTGCAGTAGCTTTCTGAGGCTTTGTATTTTTCTACGAGCAGCGGTGGAAAATTGATATCTCGCGAGACCGAAGGTCGAGCGAGATATCAATTTTCCAACGTTGCGAGTAGAAAAATACACAGTCTCAGAAAGCTACTTTAACATAATTTTCCTTTTATTATATACCTTTTCGTTTTATTCAGAAAATGAAATGCAGTTGTCAAGAAATAAATTCATGACTGACGGATGAATACGTAATTCTTGCAAACCGGCCACGCCTTTAATAATTTTGGTTCCCGTTTCAAAATGCAACGTTATACAAAGCTAAGATCGGAACCAACGTCAAAAATAGTCTGGCACTTCCATATATGGTACCGTATTTGTCACTAACATAATACGGTTATTTCTATCCGTTGAAGCGTATTTGCGCTTCAATATTTGCGTGTATTTTAGGGGGAAAATGTATAGGTATATAATAAATGTGTATATAGATGGATAAAAATATCCATTAAAGCTACGGCTATGGTTGGTGACCGAAAATAATTAAAAACACGTTCAGGGGAGTAGGATGTTGACCCCTTATTTGGTTTTCATTATTTTTGGTTTCAATTATAATTATCTTCAATCGTTAAAAGATGAAGAGAATTTTGTGCACCATTTTAAATTTTCATTCTTTGCTTTTGCAAAAAAATATCCACTTGTCCGGGAATCACCTTAAATAGACTTTTGGTTTATATTAATCAAATTTAGCTAATAAATAAAATACATCTTAAACGTATTCAAAAATATCTTTCTTTTCATTTACATCGTTGCTAAAATATACGCGGGTTATTATAAACTCACATGATATCACAGTTGGGATTTTTTCTTGACCTATATTAAAGTTAATATTCAAAATATTAAACTATTTTATAGATAGAATAAACACTTTAGTAATATGATATTAACATTGCAAATATTTGCATGGCGTGTTTGTGTATTTTGCATTACGAACGGAAACTTAATATATCTTTGGTTGAAAGAAAAGCGTAACGTCTCTTTCTCACTTTGAATCAGTGTCATGCAAGAAAAAAACCCACAGACACATAAAAAATCTTTGACTAATAAACGGACATTAATAGGTATGTCCTTTGGTAAAAATATACGATTTGAAAACGTCTATGTTATAATATATTACATACAATAATTAACTGTTAAATGTATCGGCATGATTTATAAACTGTTATTTGTTAACATTATGTATTATTCAAGTTCATTAAACACTGATCATATAACAACTAAACCTAGTGTGTTTTTTAACTAAACACAAATAAACAAAGAGCAATGATGATTATTCATGTTACTATTATATAAATAGCAAGTGGCTCTCTGGATGATAAGTGCATATTGTCAATCCTTGTTCATTGTGATAATATGTAAGCCTCCAGATGAGCAAAATATTTTTTTAAAAATCATTCTTTAGAAAAAATGTATCAAGAAAATGTATTAAGAAAATTAAAAGATTCAATATTTAATATACTATTTACATGTTCTAGTGCGATTAATGACTGATTTAACAGTATCAATCACTATAATTCTACTGTGTTACTAATGCAGTAAGATGTATTTATGTATATTTTGATCACATTTTGGTACTTTACGTGGATTGTAAGTGCCGTTTGCAATGTTTAAATTACTTTCTTTGTTCACTTCACAATATTTTACTTTAAATTCATTTTCAAAATTTTCATGAAAATAAGCATGAATCTGGAGGTATGCTGCATCAAAGGGTTGACAATATCTATTATCACCCCCACAGTCATGTATAATTTATCTTATTTTATCGAAAACTTATAGCTAAAACTCTTTTAACTGACATAATCACACCTGATGCCTATAACGTACTATCTGATGAGCAAAAACTTAACGTCATTATTAATGACCACGCTAGAAAATGTTCAAAATTTATTCTACAAGCATACCTCCGCAGAAGAGGTATTCTTTATTCTTGAGACATTTTTAAATGTATTGGTAAATCATTATCATGTTGCCAGCTGCCACTCATAACTTACTGATTGAACTGTATACATTAATCCCCTAATTTGTTGTTGCAAAAAGTAGTGTACATTATTCCACTTTTCTTTCTCGTTATATATATGTATCAATTAACCAATATGTCTTATATATTTTGAATTAATGTTAAAGTCACTTATAGGCCCACTGGGCCGGGTACCTATAAATTGTATGTATAAATTGTTGAAAATAACTTGTAAATGTACAATGTGACTATAATAAACCAATTTCTTATCTTATCTTATCTTATAGCTATAATATATTTATACCGTCAAAATAAACATACAAGCCACACAAACATTCAGTTTTTGTTTATTGTGGCTAGATGGCTTCATCAGTGAATACATAATAAAATTAATTTTTATGTACAGTAAAACGAATTACTTGCAAGAAACATTTTTGTGACTGTCTTTTCGTAGAAATGAAATAGTCAGTTGAGGGGAGTTAACTCTTGCGATACTGAATACGGAGTTATGTAGGAGTTATGTGTCTCACGATCAAAACGTATTATTAGGTCTTTGAAGATATTTTGAGATGTATAATAAACTTAATGTGTTTCTAGCTCAGTGTACAAATATACCGATCAATGAAGGAGGTTCCTGTTACACCATTCTCTAACAGAACACAAGCTTTCCGCTCAATGTATATAAATAAAGGTGACATGACCTTTGTGGCGTCTTGTTTTTTTTTTAGTAATCTAGCAATATTGGAAGGTAAATCAATCGTAATTATTATAATGACAATCTTTCATTAAGGTATGAATTATTCCCTAATAGTTACTAAAAAACGCTAGAACTGCTTCTAAAGAGGCATAACTCATTCGAGATTGTTTTAGATATATGCTGGAATTATTTCCCTTGTTTGATTCCCCAAAAATGACCTTTCTGTTTTATTCTTTTAGACTTTCTAAATGATACATTTTGAAAATTATCAATGCATGATTTGTGGTTTAAAATATCCGCATTGAAGGCGTAATGTGTTATTTACTGATAAATTTGTTTTGAAATAACTTGCTCAAGTTGAGGTATTTACTGTCTAAAGTTGAGTGGCGTTTATTCTTGAATCAAATCTGTAAGATATATCTTACTGAAGCATTTTGTGGTCGTATAATTATTGTTATAGAAATTCACATAAACATGTATGTTGTAATTACTGTTACCTACGCAGAGAACTTCAATGGATCATGATCATTTTAAAATATCGCAGGGGGTGAAATAACGTGACACGTGATATCCGAAGTAATAAAACAGTGTCACGTACCGACAGTCCGAGACTAAAAGTGAAACATTTGTTAGATCTACTAGAATGTCTGTCATAGATATCTTCTAACAATTCTCACTGCAAATAATCTAGACATACAATAGACCGAGTTAATATATACATGACGAGTCGACAATCTGTAGGTAACATTATAGTTGAATATTTAATTTGTTTAAAACAATGGACAAGTTTAACAGTGTATCAAATTACAGATTATAAAACATATTGAATGATTTAAATACTTATGTGTGCTAGTTTAGATTAGATTTATAAATTCGGTAATCAGATTAAATAAAGTTTCTGTTAATATATATCAACTGTTTCGCAATAACTTTTTTTAATTCACAGGAGGCAAGCGGAATTATTTATTATGGCGTGTCTTTTACCTATTATCGACAGTGGACATCCAGAAATCGTCACGAGCGAGCACGTGTTACAGGCATTACGACCTTTGAGTAAAACAAAGTAAGTGGGTCACTTTTTCCTTTTTCTCTTTTTTTTTTAAAAAAACTTTACACTTTTTTACAGATTGATTCATTTTTAATCTACTGATAAAGTCAAAACAAACAAAATTATCGTAGAATGAAAAATGAATATCTGACAAAACACAAACTGGATATTTGTTTCACAAAAGCGAGTTTCTCGCGCTGCGCGTGTACATGTATCTTATGTTCTAATGTACGTATTTAACGTTCTCTCGTGCACGTTTTTTTGTCTTCAAATTGACACATTCATGTATGTTTCACGTGCCATAAACATATACATGTATATTTTTAAGCCCTCATACACACGTTTTTACTGAGAAATTACTTTTGTAAGAAACGGATTTATACAATAAAATGGATCCTTGATTCAGTATAAACTACGTAAACAATAAGTTATGAGGTTTTAATAGCTTCTCAAAGAAAATAAATACATTGTAAATAAATAAATAAATAAATAAATAAATAATGATATAAGAACACAAGGCTTATACTTATAGCTTATAAACACACCGTTGGCTTCTATTAAATAAAATATTAATTAATATTAAACTATTAAATTAGAATATCTGTAAAGTGTTGATCATTTGAACATTTTTATCAATTCATTCATCAAATTTAAAATAAAATAAAATTTTTAAATAAAAAACCCATTGCATTCTCCATGTACGAGCTTTCGTGCATTATTTCATGTACAGTTTGCAATTTCACGTACGGATATGCTATGTCATGTTTCATGTGGACCCGCGCATTCTGTGCATGATGTAATAAACGGCATGGCCTGTGACAAATTTATTTATTATCATTGGTGCATTTTCATGATTGTACTTGCATATTTTCTTTTCAATTCGTTATAAACTTAACGATAATAACGGGAAACATTGAACTTTTGACATTTGACCTCGTTTGAATGCATATTTTGCATAAAGTAGATTTTGTACAACTATTACAAGTAATAGCATAAATTGCATTTTATATTAAATGTACTCATTGTATATACAATGTACCAGGTGTGAAAATCATAAAGGTTAATGATTATAAAAAGGCAAGAGAAAATTTCATGAATATACTAATTACAATACGTCTAAAGTTTATATATTTCCTGACAAAAAGTTTTGATATCAGGGTTCGAACATTTGTGATAACAAATGATTTACATAACTGATTTATGTCCTAATTATACTGTAAATATGTAAAACAGATTAAGCTTTTGATAGAGTTTATCTTTACAAGTTTATTGGTTCGCACACATGATTAATTCTACACATGTTTTATCGTTTAATTTATGTTATAAGTGTCAAATATTAAGTTTTTACATCACGGGCGTAGAAGTGGTCTACACATTGCGTAATGGAGTCACTACAGAAATCTTCACATTGCCTACTGCAGAAATCTACATTTTGCGTAATGGAGTCACTACAGAAATCTTCACATTGCCTACTGCAGAAATCTACATTTTGCGTAATGGAGTCACTGCAGGAATCTACACATTGCCTACTGCAGAAATCTACATTTTGCGTAATGGAGTCACTGCAGGAATCTACACATTGCCTACTGCAGAAATCTACATTTTGCGTAATGGAGTCACTGCAGGAATCTACACATTGCGTAATGGAGACACTGTAGGAATCTACACATTGCGTAATGGAGTCACTGTAGGAATCTACACATTGCGTAATGGAATCACTTTAGGAATCTACACATTGCGTAATGGAATCACTTTAGGATTCTACACATTGCGTAATGGAATCACTTTAGGAATCTACACATTGCGGAATGGAGTCAATGCAGGAATCTACACATTGCGTAATGGAGTCACTGTAGGAATCTACACATTGCGTAATGGAATCACTGTAGGAATCTACACATTGCGTAATGGAGTCACTGCAGGAATCTACACATTGCGTAATGGAGTCACTGTAGGAATCTACACATTGCGTAATGGAGTCACTGTAGGAATCTACACATTGCGTAATGGAGTCATTGCAGAAATATACACATTGCGTAATGGAGTCATTGCAGTAATCTACACATTGCGTAATGGAGTCATTGCAGTAATCTACACTTTGCGTAATGGAGTCACTGTAGAAATCTACATATTGCGTAATGGAGTCACTGTAGGTTTCTACACATTGCGTAATGGAGTCATTGTAGAAATCTACACATTGCGTAATGGAGTCATTGCAGAAATGTACAGTTCGCGTAATGGAGTCACTGCAGAAATCTTCACATTGCCTACTGCAGAAATCTACATTTTGCGTAATGGAGTCACTTTAGGAATCTACACGTTGCGTAATGGAGTAACCACCCCTCCACGGAGACCCCTTATCACGAATTAAAGCACTACATTTTTTAGTGAAACCTTTTCGTACTAAAACATCATGTTATAATCTCAGCTGATACAAGTTATACCCTTTATTATCATTGCATAAAAATTATAATGATAATTTAATCAGTGCTGAATGTAGGTCACGGGATGAGGGGAGGGGAGTCTAAAAGCTAGCGTTATTCCATGGCTATTAATTAGATCTCAAGAAGAAAATAGGACCACTTACAAGAATCATTTCAATTATAGCAAATATACTGTCCGGTAATCATTTTTAAACATACTTTATATGAAATACTAATAATCTTTTAAGAATGATTTTATATTTTCATAATTGCTTATTTCAAAGCACTTAGTCAGAATATTTAGATAAAATTGTGCACTGTATATTATCTTTCCTGCTACGCTGTTGTATTTTATAAAACCGCAAACGATTCGATTGATTTTTTTCTTATCATTGTTAAACATATTCTATTTAAGGGCATTGAAACGATTCCTGTAGAAGGCCATGTCATAAACATTCAATTTATTTTATACAGTATAATAGAAATACGGGTTTGCAATTTATAACACTTTGTATGTATAAATTAAACTGCTAAGACGGTTCACGAATTAAACTGTATTGTAAAGTGAAGATACAAACTTGGTTATAGTTATCAGTTAAATTTAAAATTACTTTATAAAAAGGATAGTTTCTCTTTAAAATGTAAATTTTGGATTTTGAATTATCTACATTATACACCATACAAGAACTGTTACCGGAAGTAATGGCGGCTGCACCGAGGACAATAACACCGGCATATCTGTGGGAGGATTTGGAATTACCTAAACGACCATGGTAGGTTTTTGTTTGACCCGGTGATAGGTCATAAGGTTTTTCATGTAGCTCTATGCTGAACATGTTGAAAAATGAAAGAAAGTTTTGGTTTTACTTAAGAAAAAAGATACTTTTTATGATTTGTTATCAGATGTCAATTGTAACATGAGTTAAGATATCTGTTAAAATTCCATTCAGTTACAGAATACATATTTAGATTTATCACATAAACCGCGGCGCAGGAGTGTAATAAAGCCATGTAATAAAAACGATATTACACTAGTGTAATAACACTTTGAAATGACGTCATTTGCGCTATATAGAAACATAGCGTTAAAGCGCGCTAATGTTAGCGTTACACTGTAGGCGCGTCATTAAAAAATTACTCATTTTAACAGTTTACTGGTCATATTTTATATATGTGATAAATAGAATATTATATTCGTGTAGATTCAATACTAAATTTATTGAACTCGTTGAATAAAACAATATTATGCTCGCCAGAGGCTCGCATAATATGATTTTATTCAACTCGTTCAATAAATTCAGTATTAAACTACACTCATTTAATATCCTCTATTTATCACACACCCGTGCCGATTTTGTGACTCCGTAAATATGGTATTGCACGGCCGTACATATATTTTGACGTGACGTCATTAGCGTTATACAAACATAGTGTAAAGACGCGCTAATGTTAGAGTTATACTATAGGCGCGTCAATGAAAAATGACTCTTATTTCACTTTAAACGGTTTTTATTTTTGGTATGTAATAAATAGAATATTAAATTCGTGTAAGTTCATTACTGAATTTATTGCACTCGTTGAACAAAATAATATTATGCTCGCCAGAGGCTCGCATAATATAATTTTATTCAACTCGTGCAATAAATTCAGTATTAAAAAACTTACACTCATTCAATATCCTCTATATGCCGTCAGTTATTTTGCTTCCAAGTTATTAATTGTACAAAATGTGTTAACGTCATGACGTTAAAATACATCACAGACGTCAATGTTGTTATGTGACGTTGTCTCACGGAATATTATAACTATGTATGGTGAAGTCAGCTTTGTTTTGATGGGTGATTTTAATGCTAAAACAGGTACACTTAAAGATTATATTGAATTTGATAAATACATATTGGATACAAACTTTGATGGTATTACTAGACAACAGCTGTCTATTGTTAACCTGTTAAATAATGGTATTACATTGGATAGATCTTCCAAAGATAGTAGTAATGTAAACAATTTTGGTAACCGTTTGATTGACTTATGCAAGTCCATAAATTTGTTGATAGCTAATGGTAGATGTGGTAGTGACCTTCATGTTGGTCGAACTACTTGTAAAAATACAAGTTTAGTTGATTATGTTTTACTTTCACCATGTGTTTTTCCAAATATTGTTGATTTTGAAATTTGCGATTTTGACCCCATTTTATCGGATATTCATAATAACATTTCTTTTTGTATTAAGTTTGATTCTATTTTATGTTTAACACAAAATAGTTCATGTGTCACTGATATTCATGACAGTGGTGCTACTGTTAAAAAGCCCATATGGGATAAAGCTGTGAATGATGTGTTTAAAAATAGTTTTGATTTAGACAGTGTTTCTGTATTACAAGTAGAACTCTCAGAATTGTTGACAAGTAAAACTTATTGTGATAATACTATTAATAACTTTACTGAGAAAGTTTCTCAACTATTTTATAATGCTGCTGATAGCTGTCACTTGATTATTGATGTGAAAAATACTGTACAAAAAAGTACTAAAAGACGTAAGAAATCACGTCAGAAAGAGTGGTTTGATGATGATTGTAAAGTAGCAAGAAGAACATACTTGTCAGATAAGAATTATTATAGAAGAAATAAGACTGATACTAACTTCCAATCAATGGTGTCTAGTGGAAAATCTTATAAAAAGATGATAAACAAGAAAATTAAGTCTTATCAAGATAATATTAATAAAAGGATACTTGGGTTAAAGTCGTCAGACCCAAAAGCTTTTTGGAATTTGTTAAATAGATACTGCACGGACAGCAGGGATACTGTGAATAATATTTCGAAAGAAGTCTTTCTTGAACATTTTGTTAAATTAAATGAATCTGATCTAGATATTGACAATTTAGATGATTTAGATCTTGAGAATATAAGTTGTAATAATAGCTTCCTAAATGCAGAAATAACTATTGAGGAAATTAAAAAAGTTGTAAAAAAATTAAAAAATAATAAAAGTCCTTCTGTGTTTGATAATATATTAAATGAATATCTAAAAAATGTAAATAATGAATCTGTTTTAAATGTTATTTGTTTATTGTTTAATGTTATTTTGGATTCAGGTATTTTTCCTGATATTTGGAGTCAGGGTATTATTAATCCTATATATAAAAATAAGGGTGACAAATCTGACCCCAACAATTATAGAGGGATTACCATTTTAAGTTGTTTTGGCAAATTATTTACCAACATACTAAATAAGAGACTGAATGAGTATTTGGAATGCCACAATTTACTTAACGAAGAACAAGCTGGGTTCAGGTCACAATATGGTACTACTGATCATATGTTTTCCTTAAAGATGTTAATTGATTATTATTTAAGTTGTAATAAAAAGCTTTACTGTGCATTTGTTGACTATAGGAAGGCATTTGATTCTGTTAATCGACTTCATTTATGGCACAAACTTTTGTCACATAATATTGATGGTAAGTGTCTTGGTATAATCCACAATATGTACAGTAAGGCTAAATCTTGTGTTAAAGTAAACTGTGAGTTGACTAGTTTCTTTAGTAGTTATACCGGTGTACGTCAAGGTGAAAATCTTTCACCAATTTTGTTTTCTATCTTTTTGAACGATTTGTCAGAATTTGTATCTAATAAATATACAGGACTTGTAAATATCTCTAACGCAACTCGGGAATGTCTTAGTGACGATGTCATTGATGTTTATGTTAAATTGTTTCTTCTGTTATATGCTGATGATACAGTGCTTTTAGCAGAAAGCAAAACTGATTTGCAAGATGCCTTAAATGCTATGAGTGAGTACTGTAATATGTGGAATCTTGTTGTAAATGAAGCTAAGACTAAAGTAGTGGTTTTTAGTAAGTCAAAACCTAAGGATGACTTTGATTTCATGTACAATGGTAAAAAGCTTGATTTGGTAGATAACTTTACTTACCTTGGAGTACTTTTTAATTATAATGGTAAATTTTTGAAATCAAAGAAAATTCTTGTTGATAATGCTAGAAGAGCAATGTTTTCTGTGATCCAAAAGTCACGTAAATTGTGTTTACCAATTTCTTTGCAACTACATTTATTTAACTCTATGGTTGTACCTATTCTTCTTTATGGAAGTGAAGTTTGGAGATTCGAACAAGTTCAAATTCTAGAGAAATTTCAGTTGTATTTTTGTAAATTTATTTTGAATTTAAAAGCTTCTACACCTAATTGTATGGTTTATGGTGAGTTAGGCATATTCCCATTAGCCTTACAAGTGAAAGCAAGAGTTTTGTGTTTCTGGAGTAAAATTATAAATGCTAAGGAAAATAAGATATGTAAACTTCTTTATAAAACAATGTTGTCTTTGTCCTCTAGGAATATTGTTAATTCTAAATGGATAAATTTTGTGAAAGAAACACTTAGTAATCTTGGCATGTCAGAATATTTTCATTTACAGAAGGTAGATAATATTAATCACTTTAAAAATGTTGTGAAGCTTAGACTACAAGATCAATTTTTACAAGATTGGCATAGTACTATTGACACATCCTCTAAGTGTTTAGTGTATCGTACATATAAAAATACTCATTGTTTTGAAAAATATCTAGATGTACTTCCTTTTGACATAGGCAAATATTTATGTAAATTTAGAACAATGAATCACCTATTACCAATCGAAAAAGGCAGACACTTGGCAATTGATCATAATAATAGGGTCTGTTCCTTATGTCCGTATCAACCTATTGGTGATGAATTTCACTACTTATTTGAATGTTCGTACTTTAATGACATAAGACGTAAATCTCTTCATCCCAGGTTTTACACTCATCCCAATATTTTTAAACTTGACACATTGATGAATAGTTGTGATAAAAATATTCTTCTAAAATTATCTTTATTTTGTAAAAACATTATGTTAAAATTTAGATAAGTAATACTTCTCATTCTCCGTTCTCATTTGTTACAATATAAAATACATGTCGTATTGAATTCAGAACTTGAAATGAACAATATGATCTCCTTTTTGTTTATTAAGCTAGTCATATTTGTATTTTTATATTGTGATACTAGTGATTTTTGACTGTTATTTTTCTGTTTGTTTGTTGTTATAACCAGTTGCATATTATATGCCTTGGTTTAATAAAAACTGAAACTGAAACTGGAAATAACGTCACAAACTGGATGACGTTAAATACACTCGAGTGGACACACACAATAGCAACAAACGATAACTTAAGATATCCAAATGATAACTTAAGATATCCAAATATGAATATAAACGCAAATGCAGAACGGGAAACGATAGTTCCACACATATCTAACCGGCCACATGGGGGTCACGTGCTGCAGAAGGAGATAAATAAACGGAAGTAGGTATCATAAAAGACAAATAGAACGAAAATACAGTATTTCGAGAGTAGATATAATCTTAAGGCTAACTGGATTAAGCAAATAATCCTGGGATTATTTCACGTTGTAAGAAAAGTTTACTCTACAAACCTTCATGTCGGAGTACATACATTTGATCATTTATTTATTTACTTATTTATTATGATACTTTTCGTTGCAAAGTTAGTCGAATAAAAGTAACAATCGGTTTGCAAGTCCAAAAAGCGTTATTAACGCTTTATCAAATCACGGATTTATATTTGTAATATGAATCCGTGATCAAATATAGACAATTTTGCTTAAAATCAACACTTCAAGTTACCTTGTTAATAAAAAAAGTTTAAGGCTATGGAAATCGATTCTATTTCAAAACGGAAATTTAAACAGTTTTAACAACTTTGATCAA